GGCCCAAGCGCCAGTGGGGCGGAGGCACAGGACGCTTCCGAAAGGCGGCTCCCCAAGACCCGCAGCGGTTTTAGCCCCGCCCCGGGGCCTCCGGTGAGCATCCGCACGTGAGCCAATTCGGGGCTGCACCTGTCCTGGTCCCCTCTAAACCATCAGCATAGGTGGGCTTGGGTACGTGAACCTCAGCGGCGCTCTGACTAGGACAAGTGTGTGAGGGTGGGCGTGGTTCACTGCCACAAACCACATGTCCAAAATGAATGTGCAAATTCTTAAAATGCGAACTTGACAGGGTGGGGCTAAAGGAGGAGTGAGTGTCCAGTCTGTTAAAAAAATTTGACAGGTGGGCGTGCCCTTATCTACAGCTACTGAGGAGGCTGTGGCTGGAGGATCACTGAGCTCAGGAGTTCCAGGTTAACCTATGCAACATGAGACCCTATCTCCAAAAAAGAAAAGAAAAGAAAAGAAAATCTGACAGATGCAGACTGGTCATTCATTCCAGAAGTACCTGTCTAAGCCCACCAGATTCAAGGCACCAAGAAGGACCATATCCTTCTCTGAAGCTTATCTTCTAGTAGAGTCCATAGATCAAAAAAAAAAAAAAAACGGTTCCAGTAAGGCTCTTCAGGAAACATGGTGAGAAGAAAGATTTTGTAGGCATGGCCTCTGTAATGGATTGAATAATGGTCAATTTGTAACGCCCAGCTGAAAAGAATCAGCATGGTCTGGGCATGGAGGATCCACCTGAAGGTTGTTACCAATAGTCATGAAAAGAACAGGGGAGGAAGATCTTGGCCTGTTGATTTCTAGGAGCTTGCTGCAGATGGTTTTCTGATGCAAACTAGGCTGTTCTAATAGGTGGGGGAGTTCAGGACCTCGCTGTCATTGGGAATGACTGCTGCTTTTGTCAGTGGATCACTGATCTTTACCGTGAGCATCACTTCCTGGCTCCAGTGTGTATTCCTCAGCTTGGTATCACAAATCCTTCATCTCGCCAGCATAGATTTTTCTGGCTTCCACCACTGGTCTTTGGGCCTTCCAGGTGCAGATCCTCAATATAAACAAACATAAGTCATTGTCGTGGGCTCCACGCCACTGGCTGGACTGGAAGAGTAAATTGCCTTGGATTCTAAGCCTTTACCTGGACTTGTGTGGGAAACTTCTGGGATCCAGGCCCTGGGTTGAATGCTTTGGGCTTCTAGTGTGCAGTTACTCTCTTGGACACCTTTGCATTTGACTCATTGGGTAATTATCATAAAATAACCTTATAAGTTATGTGTCCTGTATTTAATGTATTCCCTCACCCAATCCTACTGACTACAACAGCCTCTGTTTAGATAAGATGACTAGAGAAGATTTCTGGGAGGAAGTGATAGTTCAGCAGCCTCCTGATGAAAAAAGATGTGAAATGCTCTTAGACGCAACTTCATACACAGGGATAGTAGATTCCAGAACCCCCAATAAGTTTACAAATTCTATGTTAAGATCTTATCTCTAAAGCTTTCCAAGGGCTATTTCTGTGCCTTGAGAGACAAATTATTTAACTTTTCACTGTTTCTCTATCGCTGTTTCTCTTGGACCTATGAGTATATGTTACAACTGATTTTTACCTGGGCTCCAGAAGAGCTTGATCTTCCCAACATTTTGTATTGTTGTGATATTGTAAGGGCAGAGGCCCCTGTAGGTAGGGAAAGTTAGGATAAAGGCCTTATTGAGCTTTACTAAGATCAATAAGGAAATTTACTAAAAGCAGTTTCTGCCCTGACAGGTAGACTCTGTAGTTAGGGTAATTAGGAAGACAAAGGAGGGAAAAGCTAGCTAAACTTCGGAGAAGCTCCAGGCACCAGGCTGCACAATTACAAAGAAAGCCAGCTCCCCTCACCCACCTGACAAACTGCAAAGATGATAAGAGACAGTCTACTAAGGACTCTTATTTAATATATAAGACATACACTCACACGCACACCTACACATATACACATGTATGATCTGTTTAATATGAGTATAATATTGCACCTAATACACACATGTACACATGTCCTCTTAATCATGAAGTAAGCTTCCCTCCTAATAGGCCCTCCCCCTTCATTTATTGATTACAAAGGGACAGAAATAAACCAAATGGCCAGAAGGCCTAGGTTAGGATCAAAGACAGTCAAGGAAACAAATCAGACAGGGACAAGTGCCTACCTGGGAGGTGCAAGAGACACTTGTCCCCAATAAAAGGAGCCAGGGATAAGAGCTCAAGGGCTTACAAAGCTGATGTCCCTTACCACCTCATAGTAGCTGTCTATTCTTTTTCATCTTTTTCCCCCAAATAAATAGTCTTTTGTTATACTAAACTTTGCCTTTTTTTTTTTTTTTTTTTTTTTTTTTTTTTGGTACCAGGGATTGAACTCAGGACCTTGAACTTTGAAGGTGAGGCAGGCAGTGGAGGCACCACTGAGGTAATTACCAGCCCTAAACTTTGCCGTTTTTAAGTTCTTTATTGGTGCTGGATTTAGGATCACTGGAGCTGGAGTGGCATGGCACAGTGGCAGAGTGACATAATATGACCAGCTGTACACCCCTGGATATAACAATACAAATACAAGGATTAATTTTGTCCTTTGCCAAATCAGTTGACAAAATAAAAAGCCTATTTTCATTGGAAAGGGTCTATTCAGGTAATGTAGTTTGTGACTAATGCTAATAAAACTATTATTTATTAAACATTCACTGCAGAGTTAATGGAAAGATTGGATAATACTAGCTTTATAGTCTCCTTCCCCCCCCACACCTTTTTGAGGTAACAGGGATCGACCTTGGGACCTTGCACTTGTAAGACAGGTGGCAGAACCACTGAGCTAAATCCCTGGCTCTCTTGTCCTTTCTATCTTTCCTCCCCCAGTGAATTATTTTCTTATTCTGGCTTATTTCAAACTTTAAAAGTGATTTTTGGTGGTGTTATGGCTTGTGTCTAGATGTTCCCCCAAAGCCTTATGCAGGTGGGATTCTTTCATAGGTGGCTGGATCGAGAGTGTATGATTGATTCGTGATGCAATGCTAGGATTAAGGGTGCTAGGATTAGGGTGGGTGATGACTAAATCGGTCCACTGATTGGTTTGGCACCACCCTAGTCCCCAGTAGTCTGGATACAGCATAAGGGACAAAAAGAGGCTTGTCTTGTCCCTTGCTTGCTTCTGCTGTCTTCCGCCTGCAATGAACTATTTCTCCTCTGTGATGCCCCTCTGCCGTGTGCCACCCTGCCTTGAAACCAGACAACTATGGACTGAAGCCTCTATGAACTATAAGCCAAATAAACTTCTTTAATTTTGGTTGTCAAGTATGATGTCTCAGCAATGAGAGAAGTAACTAAGGCAAGTTTCTTTTTGGAAAAACTGAAGGAGCTAGTCTTTAATGAGAAGCTACCATTTGAAGAACATTGTGCTAGGTACTTCTCTTCCAGTACTGGGAGTAGCCTTGAGATGTAGGCATTAGTAGACCCATTTCAGTAACAAAGGCATTGAGGTTCTAAATGATTGTGACTTGCCTAAGGTAACAGAAAGCTAGAAAAGCTTAATTTTAAACTCTGATCTTTGTGGTCCTACTTTCCCTTTTTCTTCAAACCATGCTACCTTGATTTTTTTTTTTTTAGATGTGGTCTCACTATGTCTTTCAAGCAAACCCCAAACTTCTAGGCTTAAGTAGTCTTCCTGCCTCCACCTCCCTAGCAATTGGGACTACAGGTATGTATGACTATACCCAACTTATGTTGTTATTTAAAAGAGAAAGGTGAATGTCCGAACAAGCAGATTTCTATATTGGTTATAGGATTTTTACTATGAAAACATAACTCTAAAGTAAGTGTTATAGGGCAATTTGGGAACTTCTCTATATTTTTACTTTTCCCTCATAATTTGTCATCTGTTCAGGGGAAAAAAATACAAAAAGTAAAAAAAAAAAACCCTGCATCACTTAAGAGTTCATAATGTTATATGTGACTTGAATGCTGCCAAGAATACTGTAAAGTAATGATACTAGCATTCTGTCTTTATAATGGGCTCCTGACTAAATGCATCACCGTGAATTATTTTCTGGGCAATCTTGCCCTGCACATTAAGTATTTCTGCCAAAAATATGTGCTCCCACATCATTATGGAATATTCTGACATGTGAATGCCCCAAATATGTGTGGGCTGGCTGCTCTAGGGACTTAATAATAAATGAAGGAAATTTTTGCAAGTGTTTATACAGTTTTAAGAGATGAGATAGTAGAATTAGTACATTTTTGTTCTTTTCATAACAAATTCTTTATATTTTTCTTGATGATGCCAAAATTTTTTTTTCCTTTTTTAAAAACAAATACTGACAGGCATGGTGGCACACAACTATAATCCCAGCCCTTAGGAGGCTGAGAGAGGA